CAAGATGCGGGTGCATGAGCACATCGCGCTTTTGCCCCGGCTGCACCGGCTGCGCCCAGCCGCCGGCGTCCACCGGGAGGCCCTCCCAGTGCAGCTCCGTCCACCAGTCGGACGGCTTCAGTAGCGAATACATGAAGCAACTGCGCCCGTAGTAGCTGATGTCTTCCACCCGTTGCCCGTTGGCGAAGAGTTGCATCCTCTCGATGAAACACGAGGGGTCCGGCGAGCCGCAGAGCATGTCGCTGGAGCCGTCCGTGTTGCGGAAGGTGAAGGCCAGCTTAATCGATTCAGGATCAACAAAGTCCAATCCTGGCGTGATTGGTATTCGGCATACGCGGCTGGTGCTTGGCGTGAAGGTGCTCAGGGAGCTCGGAAAGAACTGCACGGACTTGCGGGACTGAATGTAGTTGGTGTTCCCCGTCTGGAGCTTGTAGTCGAGACTGGCCACGAGCTCGTCATTGACGGCTTGCGTAACCTGCTCCATCACTCTTTACATACCTATGCAGCTTCCGGTTCGCTCGCCTGACGAAGGGCGTCGAAGGACGGCTGGGTGCCCAAAGGTCCCCGGTCGCCGCGGGACTGGCGGCTGACGCGGGAGCGGTCGCTGCCGGAAGAGACCGGGATCGGGATGTTGTTGAGGCCGAAAGGGGTTTGGGCCTGGGGCTGCCGGCGCCGCGCCGGGCGGGCCACGATGCGTTGCTGCGCCTGGGGCCGCGGCTCGCTCTCCGAGTCCGTGTCGATCCGGAAGACCTGGGGCCTCCGCTGGGCTCGGCGCTGCTCCTGGATGAAGTAATGATCAACTGCGCCCGACTCCTGCATGCCGTTCAGCGTCGCACAAGGTCCGTGGTTTGGCTCGGCCGCGAGGCGTCTGAGTCCGTCCCGCCGCCCGTGGCCGCACCCCAGCCCATCATGTGCGAAGCCGCGTTCAACCCTCCTTCGATGGCCCAGGCCGTTCCCACGAGCGCTGCGCCTGCGCCCGCAACGGCCAGGCCTCCCGCCGCAGCGCCCACCGTGCCCGCGGTTGCGAGGGCTCCCTCGCCCAGGAGCGCAAGAGCTCCTCCGCCCGCTTCCGCCGCAGTTGCTGCTTCGGCAGCGCTCGCCGCAGCCTCCGCCGCCGTGGCAAAGCCTTCCGCCGCTTCTGCCTCCGCCACCTGCTGCGACGCAAAAGCCTCGATGTCTTGGGCGGCCGCCCGCTCCACCTCCGCGGCTCTCTGGCCCGCTCGCTCGAGCAGGGGCTCCACCTCGCTGGGCCTCCCGATGATGTTGGGCGGCGGGACCTCGTCCGGGGGCGGCGCCAGTCCCGGCGGCCTCCTGGGGATCCTGAGGGTTCTGTCGAGCCAGTCGCCTCCTCCCCGCAAAATGTTGAAGGTCTGGTTCTCGGCCACGCTTCGGGTCGCCGCCGCGGCGCCCGCAGCCCCTGGCGATGATCGCTTCCGCGGCTTGAATGCCCGACTCCCTCATGCGGCCTCCGAGGCTCGGTGGCCTCGGTGCATCGAGCCCGTCGTTGCGCAGGGCCTGGCCTGGGTCCATGCCCCCGTTGTCGGAGTCCGGCAGAAACGAGGGCCGGGTGAACTCCCTGGGCGGGCGGGGAAACGCAGTACCGGAGTAGCCCTCATCTCCTGTTTCGAAAGCATCCGCTGGGTTCAACTGCGTGTGGGGCATGGGCGCCTCGCTGATGGGCTCGGGTGCATTGGGGTAATCGTCCAAGTAGAAGTGACTGGATGTGTAGATGCTGGCCTTGCGGTTGGGCAAGGGGATGTCGAGGGGCTCGCCTTCCTGGATGAAGCCTAGCACCTGACCAAATGAGGGTTTGACGCGGAAACCATTCTGTCTACGCTCCTCCATTTACATGGATCTTGAGTCCTCGCTTGCCCAAGTACGAGCGCTCGCTGGCCCGCTGGACGATCTCGCACAGGTAGCTGAGCACCGTCTTGGTCTCTGGGTCGTAGCGCACCAGGACCCTTTGGGGTCGCGCCCACCGCCGGGCCAGCAGCCGCACAATCTCCTGGCCCTCCTCGTCCTCCAGGTCGTGGTCGTAGGCCAGCGGGATCTCCGCCTCGGGGTTTTCGAGCAGCCACATGCCATCGCGCTTCGCGAGCTGCAGATCCAGCTTCATTTCAGAGTAGACCGCCATACACTTGGGAGTCGCTGGTGTTTCTACCTGCGGCGACGTCCCGCGCCATCCTGTGAACGCCCTGCCGCTCCGCCGGGGCATAGCGCAGTTGCGGGATGCGGCGGTTGACCGCCTCAGTCATGCGGCCCAATTCGTCGGCGTAGGTCTCGCCCTCCTGCCGCAACCGGCGGTCGGAGAGCCACTGGTTGAAGGCCTGCGCCTCGACCAGCTGCTGGTGCCTTCTCCAGAGAAGGGGATTGATGTTGTAGCTGGGGTACATCTTGTGGAACTGCCGAAGCATGAAGGATTCGTTGCGCCGCTCGATGGGCATCATCCTTTTACAGTTCATGAGTGTTTCGTGCGAGCAGCTCCATGTACCTGTCTTGGCGCTGCATGTACCTTAGGGCCCGCTCTTGCGCAGGCGTCATCCTGACGGGCTCAGCCGGGAGCTGCGAAGCCTCGGGCTGAGCCCTCGGCGGCTTCGGAGGAACTGCTCGCGTTGGAGGAGGATCGGGGGCAGCACGCTCGGGAGCTTGTGCTGGGACGGCCTCTTCGGCGGGCACCGTCTTCGGCGGTTTCGGTTTGTTTTTGGAGCCGGGCGGGCGACCTCGGCGCTTAGGCTCCGCGGGCTTTGGGGGCTCGGCCGGGGGCTCTGCCGGCGCGGGCACGGTGGCCACGTCAGGCTCCAAGGGCTCAGGCTCCGGAGGAGGCTGTGGCGAAGCCTCAGGCTGAGCCCTCGGAGCTTCAGGAGCCATGGGGGGCTCCGCATTCTCGGCCATTTCTTATGAATAAACATATTAGTTTTCGAAGTCCAGGTATATCGCAAAAGAAACGCTGGTGCCGCGAGTATTCACTACATTGCCATCTACGTCGGTGAGCTTGAAGCGCAATGTGCGCAGGGTAATGGGGCCGTGCAATTTGAGGAAATGCCCCTCGTCTGTTCTCGCTTGCATAATATGACCCACTCCTTTGTCGATAATCATTTTGCATAAAATGTCGGAGCCCAGCTGCCCTCGGATGTCGGCCGCGGTGGCCAGCGTGCTGCAGCGCAGGTATAGTTCAGAGTAGCAGTTCATAACGACGAAAGGAAAGATCTGGAGCGCGCCGTCGATGAAGCTGGGCCCGAGCAGGTGGTTGATTGAGAGTGGCCGGGCGGGTGTGGCGCCCGCGGGATAGCTCGCGGCGTCGGGGAAGAGCTCGCGCAGCTCGGCATCTTGGAGGATGACCCTGTTGCCATCGTAGGCCACGCCTATTTCATTGGTTTGCTCCACGTAGGTGGCCGAGGCGTAGTTTCTACTGATCCAGGCGGCCAGCCGCGCCCCCGTGTAGGCCCCGACCGGGAGCGTGGCCCAGTTCAGCGTGCCCAGGGCAGTGTCCCGCCAGAATAGGTATTGGCCCCTGTCCGTGGACAGGAAGGCGTCGGCCACGCGAAACTTGAAGACTGAGAGCTTGGCGCCCGTCTGGAGGTGCAGGGTTTCTCCCAGATCGTACGTGAAGCTGCTGTCGTCCCCTGCGACGCGCTTCCGGGAGTCCACGTAGATCGTCGCGCTCATGGCTCTTTTCCTGTAGCGGCGGAACAAACTCCGCGCCGTCGAGGCGTCGGACTCGTTGCTGATTTGCCGGAGTCGCTCCGGGTAGGGCCACCTAGGGTCCACGACCCGTTGCGAGCTCGAGCAGCAGTGGATGTTCGAGCACTCACTATCGCAGAGCGGGCCGGCCCCGAGGAGCTTGGCCGCCACTTGGCTGAGGATTGTCCCCATGCTCGTTTACGAGGAATTTGCGCTCGAAGTTCACCCAAAACATGTCTTCTTTCGGGGCTCGCAGATTCACGAACCAGAAGCTGTGCTTCTCCCGAGTGGCCTCCTCATACATGCTAAACAGGACTTCCTTTGGGAGCATGGCGGAGAGCTCCTCGACGAGCGCCTCGATTTCGAGTTGGTTGCGGAGTCGGAAGACGCAGTAGAACATGGTGTTCACGCGCACGGCCGAGGGCATCAAGCGAAGTTTCTGGGTGCTCACCCAGCAACTGCACATGTAGTGCCTGCCACGGATGAAAAGCGTGTCCAGGATGCCGTCCCCGGTCTTCTTGTGCACCTGCGGTGTATCGGCCATATCGTCAAGGACCACCAAAACCTGAAAAAGGCGCTTCATTCCCAGCTCTTTGGATTTTTGGGTTATTCGCTTTTGCTGAGCCAGGATGTTTCGGAGCGCGCCCTCGTCCCATTCGCTCCACCAGCACTGCTCCCGGTCCGTGTTGACCCCCAGGTCCTTCCGGATATACTCCTTCACGGGGTCCCACTGGGGGTCCATGTCTACCTGTGAAACCAAACCTCTCGAAATAAACAGGCGCACGCACTTCTGGCTGAGGAAGTGAGCGTTTGCCCAAACCACTATATTTGGGGGGTTCAGGGGTTCAGACTTGGGGGCTTCAGGGCTTCAGGGCTTCAGGGTTCGACGGGTTTGGGTTTGCCACGAATCGTATCTTGCCCGGCCCCTCTCAGCCAAATGACGTTCAAGAGCGCAGATCTTTCGAAATTGCGAGCTCCGAAAGGGTTGACTGAATACATATCCAGGATCCTTCTCACTATACGTATATATGATGGTATTATGTACAATTCAGTACCTGCCTAAACTAGCCCCGACCGTGCGATTAACCTAAAAGCCGATCTCCCTCCCGTCATCCCTCGATGTTTTCCACGGCGGCTCTCTCGACTGCGTGCTCTCGCTTCAGGACCGCCAACCTGCCCAGGGTTTGTGGGTGAAGCTTGCTTTGGATGCTTTGGATTTACGCGGTTATTGGGAGTAGGGTCGTGCAAAAACACAGTATAGATATGTTACACGACTTAAAGTATGCATGTTGTATACAGAGTATATGCTGCAAAGCCGCTCAATCCAGCCATGAGAAGTCCATCGTTGTAAAGGTATCCTTGTCTAAGCACGTCTTCATAAATAAGAGATACCTTTGAAGAGTCTTTGTAGCAACCGCTCTGGTGCTGATCTTCCTGCTGAGTCTTGCTGTACGGCCGACGAAGTCCTCCGACATAAAAGTGGCCTCAGCCAAAGGGTTCGTAGCAGTACCTGTCGACAACCATTCTTGGTAGACCCGAAGGAAAATATGATTGAGGTAGTGAACTTTGGGGCGAAGCTTGAAAAGGCACAATTCTCGCGCGTGGCACTGGGCCACCAGGTCAGCGTAGCCAAGCAAAAACTCGTGACCAGACTCCGCAAGAATTTCACAATCCTCACTTGACATGAAAAACTCGGCGCCCAAAGCAATTCGTACCACTCTGCCCATTGCGATTGCACTGGACAAGATTTGTTTCAACACACTGTCCTGTTCGACTTTGCTTTTGAACTCATCTCGCTGCAAAAGGTAGACGACGAAGCCCATCAGTGTAGCGGAATCCATATTTTTGGACCATCTCCCCTCTGGGAACTCCCTCGTACTGCTGTAGCCTAGAAGATCCTCGGTAAGATGTCCGCCGCAGTGCAGTCGCCTTTTTTCGGTCTTCATCCAGACCTTGAGCCTTGCATTAAGCTCGTCCATGTCCTTCGCAACCGATCCACGGCCGAACAGAGCCTTGAGTGAAAAAATCAAAGCAGAGCTGACAAAGTCTTTGGCGACGCCTGCGTGAAAAACATGGAAGAAGTCAGCCCGCCAAAAAGCTGCCGGAGTGTCATCCCTGTCAAGTAACATGCATGGCAGAAGTGCGCCAGCATCTCGAAGCCAGGGCTCGGGATTATTGAGCTTTGTGGTTGCCAACCATTTGGGGGAGGTGTAGCCCATGTGCTCAAAAGGAATGTAAACATCGTCTGCGGGCAGCTCGTAGCCTGCGTGACAAAGCCAACAACATCCTTTCTGGGGTTTTACAGACGTGTGGGCTTTTCGGACATTGTTGAACGAACGGGTCAGCTTTCCGACCTTCTTGACAAAAGGGGAATCGCCAGCAAAGCCCAAAATCATGACACGCCAGGTAGAACCATGAGCTTGGAACCCATCCTCGAACAAAGATTTCAGCGATCGTCCCCAAATGGCCATGAGGTCGTCGAAGATTCTCGAATCATTTTTGCTCACCAAGCTGCTCAGCACAGTAAACAAAAAACGAGTCGCCCCAGAATTTCCTGTCAGATTGATGCCCAACTCGATGGGGCCTTCAGCTTTGCGCTTTGAACTCAAGTCTACCTGTCTCGACCTTGACCCGGATCCAAGTGCTGGAAACATTGACACAATCTCGATAGGATCCTTCTTGAAGCCACGGCCACCATCCCCGTGCAAATAGTAGGGGATGAGCTTGGAAAAATTGATATCAGCATGATTCCGAAATAGATCATGGTTCGGGTGGATGGAGCGAAACTTTGCCCAAAACTGTGCAAATGCCTGCTCCGCCAAGGAAACAGGCACCCCCAGCACCCGATGGAAGTAGTTCTCGCTTAGAACCTCGAGCTGTTCCTTCGGGTTAAGATAGGGGTATCTGTGAACCTCGCCAGCCTTCGCCCAGCTAAACGGAAGCGGCAATGCCAATCCATATTTGAAGAGCAGGTCGTAGAGGGGTTGATCAGCATTGGACAGTGGAAACTGAGCTATCTTAGCCAATACCTCGCAAGGATCAGTTTTGATGGCGGCCTGGGCATCAATCACCAGATCCTTCGCCGGGACCTTGGCGGAGCGAGATTCAATCAAATTCAATTGGGAAGTTTGGCACTTCAGAGACCGATCATGAAAGCTACAGACAGTTCCCATGCAGTGCATGCACACTCGCTCGGACATCAATTGTTTCATCTTGTGCACCCACGGGACTTGAAGCTCACTGTGTGAAAGCACACATGAGCAATGGGTCAACGCAGCTAGCTGATTATCCTAAGATGGGCTTGCGTTGTGCAGCACATGCAGCTGCACAGTATGCATAGTAAGGAGGCGGAAACCTGGGCATGAAGCTTTTGTCACGCATGCTCTCACCACCGAGTTGCTTGTTTCTACAGCACCGCTCATTATCGTGAAACTCAGCGATCAGTGCAGCCTCTAGCATCTCCAACATGCCTAGCAGATCTGGTCGGCATACTTTGTGTAACAGCACGAAGGATTCGAAATTCTGCTCCATATAGCTCTGCCTGCGCCGAAGTGGCTGCGCAGTTAGCCCAATCTTGAACACACAAAGAGCATTCCCCCCATGTTCCTGCCGGACTCTGTTGATCACCTTGACACAGTGCCAAAGAATCTTGGAAGCCACAGCAGTTTCAGAGATCAACCTCGCATCCAGGATGGAGCTTTGGCATCGATCCACTGCAGCTGGCGTCTCAGGCAGCTGAGTGGAAGCATGCGAAATAGGGCTAGCCATATCGATGTCCGAGTTGTGCTTCATGTCTTCGTCGTCAGACTCAGACTCACTCCAGGGAAAGATTGCGAGCTTCTTACCATTGCTAGCCGACATGACAACAATTAAACTCCTAGGATATCAGTCGTACACTTCTGCATGTAAACTATATACACAACTAGCAAGCTTCCGATTGGGCATTGTTGCAAACAACATATGTTGTCGAGACGCGGAGCAGCTGCGAAGAAGTTGACATATTCACCATGCGAAATTTATTTTGCTCTCATGTCTACATCGCTCAGGAATGATACAACCGTTCGCTGTGCTGGCTTTGCCTAGCCGCTGGGGCCCCAGCACCTTTTCCATACTTCACGGCAATCAAGAAGACTTGCTGGCTGATGTTGGGAGCGGTGTCGTCGCCTGACAGGCTTCGGTTTTAGCTATATAGTTCTTTTTAGAGTTGCCGGGCCATGCATAGGACGGGAATGAGTAAACACTAAAAGCTCGAAGATACTGGGAATGGTTGGGGTTTGGTTTCCACGCAGTTCATAACTGTTTCTTTGAGTTTCCTCGGTGGGTTTACATACAGTTTATACATGATTTTGAAGCTATCTGCGAAGATACGAAACTCTCCGTGCATCACCTGATTAGAGCCGTCGGGGCCACATCTATTTACACGTGTAAGTTCCTAGCTTGCGTAGAGACGATGTGACAAGTCAAAACATCTTGGAATTCGATTGCTTCCTCGACTTTGCACAAGCTTGCAGAAACCATGCACAGTGTAACCAATCGAATCAACACCAGCATGGGATCATACCGATAGGCCCGAGCCCGCCCAAACCAAAGTCACATTTCACGCGAGTGAAGCCGCATGGTCACCACCTGCCCGTAAGCAGTCTAAGGTACTGTTTCGAGGAAACAGTAGAGCAACTAGCTTGTTTCTAGATGGCGTCAGCAACTCGAACTATGAAGACTCGACAATTACAATGACAAGCATCCAAACAAGCACTCTGCATGCATCCCACGCACACATGTAAATTTGATATAGGGAACATATTCTCGCCAGTCGCACGGCTGCTGCAGCCTGAAACAAAGCTTGCACTGACCTATGTGAAACCCGTTGCGCCATGCATCCTGTGGGGCGCTGGCTTCCACAGATGCGACTGCACCCAAACACATCATGCTTTCCCTTGCAAGCCTAATATCTTCCTATATACAGCCCCATGACTATACTTGGAGGCCCTTTTGACTTAGTAAGTAGGGTTAGTAAGGTGGGTTATGGGGATTCTAATGGGGTTTCTACTAAGTAGACTTACTAAGTCAAAAAGGCCTCCAAGTATACAACCACCCTATATATATAGTCCCTAATAAACCACGCAATTAGTTAGTTCGTTAGGTCAATGCTAGGGTTCCAACAAGCATGACATGTCCATAACCATCCCAGACATAAGGATTGATAGGCAATCCACAGCTTCTCAGCAGCTATTGCATGGAAGCACCGACACAAAATCAAAATTCACGTGTCTACTCCCGCCGCCGAGACGGGGAGATCACTCTTCGTTCTTCTTCGCCGCCTTGCGAGCCCGGTTGAGCAGCGACCTCGGAGGAGGTATGGGTGATAGCCGATCGTTTGTAGATGGGTTTAAATATATAAACATATATACACCTAGCTAGAGAAAGGTTAGTTGGGTTTTGGTTTCGGGCCCAGAACCTCATCGTACAAGGGCTTCATGCAGTAAACAAAATTAAGAAAACCATGCGACTTAGTTTGTTCGACACATAGATGCTGCGTAAAAATGCGCCTCTAAAGAATCACAAGTCTCATGCCCTGCAGCACTGCATTTCGGTACAGAAGCCCTGTCAACTTTGGGTGGCCCGAATATGGCTTCTGGCACACTTCCCCACCCACATGAAGCCTGAAGCCAGCTAGGAACCCCGATATAATTTTAATTGATCGATTCACGCACATTCCAAGATCAGTCACTAAATGCGGCTCATGGCTGTCCACTGAGACTCAAGCTTGTTGGCCGCCTCCAAGGATGCAGATTTCGCCGTCCTCAGCATCATTCGCTTGCACGTCACTCAGATCGACGAAGTTTACTACAGATTTCACTGCATGGATCCAACTCGAGAAGCTTCCTAATGCAAGTCTGCATGCACTTCCTTTATATAATCCCAGCCAAAGGATCAGCTTCTGAGCCTTGACGAAGTAGCCCTTGCACTCTGCTTGCAGCCTGAGCCATTCCCAAGCTTCGTTTTAAGCTACTTGGAGGATCAGGGGACTTAGTGAGGAGGATTATAAGTAAGGTAACTATATAGTTATATCTACTTATAACCTGAATTAAGGTACTTATAACCCTACTTACTAAGTCCCATGATCCTCTAAGTACTACATATTGTTTCAGTTCGAGCGGGGCTTCAAAAGGGCGATTGTTGTATATGGGTTTCTGCAGTTTCACAAGCTGGGTTTAACTGGTTTATATACTTGATAACATAATTTTTGGGTTTATATAAGGTTCTGGGTTCAGGGTTTATATAGGGTTATATAGGGTACTGCAGCCCGAAAGCTTGTCAGTGTAACCGGAGGTGCCCCCTTCGGCTTTGGCTTCGGCCATCTCCTCGTAGAGTGTCTCGTACTCCTTTAGGAAAGCCTCCATCTTCTTCACCGACCTCATTCAGATTACGGGGTTTAGGGCTTATGGGGAGGGTTCTATAATAGGGTTTGCAAATCTATATAACTTAATTCCATCCAGGCACTGCCCCGCTTTCGCATCCCCGGCCACTACAGGCTTGATCTTATCGACGAAAGTCTCCATCGAGCTCTTGGCCTTCAGCACCTGCTTCATGTACTCCTTCATCTGTGCTGCAACCTCAGATGAGACTGAACCCGGGGGTTTTACTATACCTATATAGGGATTGTGAAATTCAGTCTGGTGCACACTTTTGTGGTGATCACCTTCCATGTCCTTGGAGTTCTTATGGATGAAGCTGTCGTCGTCAGAGAAGTCAAAGCCGCTAAAATCCAGACCAGACTTGAAGTTGAGCTCGTCCCCACCTTCACCTGAGTACTCTTGCTTGCGCTCAAGCATCTCCAGGTCCTCCTTCGTCATGGTTCCCGTGGTTCTGATGTTCACCCAGTACTCGAGTGTCTCGTCATCATACTCACAGGTCCTTGGGCTGTGGGTGCGTCAGGATTCTGTTGCACGAACCAATATACTAGCTGGAATTAATTGATTAGGGTACATGCTGCCCCCAGCAGAAACCAATCAGCAACGAATCAGCCATTGCATCGCAAACCCTACATAAGTCGAGGTTCCAAATCACCCTAAGGCCCTGCGAGGACTCTGGATCGTCTATATATGCAATCCATGCACTGCACGGCTAGCAGATCTGTATAGCTGCGCCCAAAGTCTGCTGAAGTATCATGGGCCGAAACCTTCCACCCTGAGCTTCTTGCACTTTAGGTTCTCGTTATGGGATTTATACAAGCCTATATAGCCTATATATAAACCTTTATAGAACCCACCACGGCTCACTGGAATCCCGCTGCACCTCTTAATTTTCAATTGCAGATGTAGCAACGACACTGTGTAGGCTTGCATATATGTAGCTTCGATCGACTATAGTACTAGCTGAAGTCACTAGAGTTTCCAGTGGCACCGACCCATCCACTTTTTAGGCAAACAAATAGAATTGCAAACCACGCGACCTGACAAGCCCTTTCTTCTCTGCCCAGGCCACGATCTTGTCGATGCGAGTCCTGGGCTTCGTGTGAGGCTAGCTGTGGGGCCTGTTCGGGAAGGGGAGAGTACTATAATAGATTTTAACTTGATTTGCAACGAGGTTTCTGACTGTATCCGAGTTCGGATTTCATATCGTCTTTGGAGTAAAAGCCTCCCTTGACCTCCAGCTTCTTGCTTCTTGTCGAGCGAGAGAGGAGGGTAAGAGATTCCATGAACACGGCCTTACAGGGATCAATTGATCAATGGTTGCCAAGCTGTTTCGATGTTTACTCTTTGAGGATATAAGGGATGACATCGAACTCCAAGTGTAGTCGACCTATATAGGACCCATCCCTGCCTTGACACCTCCAGCCTTGCACCACATACGCAGAAGCTTGTCCCGGCCACTGGCAACGTCCTTCCACATATCGAAGATATTCTCCGGAACCTCCAAGTTCCCTGACCCCTTTTTGGGGCTCACGATCCTTCGCACCTGTTCCTTTTGCAGCTTCGTCATGTCGGCCACACGAATCACCTGGGGCACTTCTGCCTCCTCCTTGTCGCTGTCGACCTTCTCGGAGCCTCGCTTGGGGTTGGGCTTGGTTGGAGTTGTTCCCGGGGTCGGTGGATGGGGTCGCTTGGCTCCTCGGCTGCTGGGGCTGCCAGCGCGGGGGTCCGGCAGAACCTCCGCATGGGAGGCCGGTGCGGGCTTCTCCACTGTGTTGCTCACAGGCTTCTGGGGCTGCACAGCCGCTTGTTTCGATGGATCCTGCGGGTAGAATCAGAACAGTCGATTGACTATGCAAGCCGCACAGTGACACGCACCAAGTTTGCACCAGCTGTTGCAACATGTCTGTGTGTGACCTGAGCACCGTTGCCCGAACGAAGCTTCGTGATCTCGGCATGCTGCGCGTTCACGGTGGCCTGTAGCAGCTCCATCTTGTAGAGCAGCTCCTATTGGCATGGTAGACCCAGGGATGCAAGTGCGACACACTAGTCGGTATATGTCTTCAGTACAAAACTAGTTTCGGGTCCTGTTCAAGATTGGCACGCGTCTGGTCACTTGGGGTTGGTGTCGGAGTTCCCAGGGATTGCAAGGAGGAGCTGGATGGCAGTGACCGCGGTGGCTTCTGAGTGGTCCCCGGCTCCTCTTTGACCTCATACCATGTCTGTGTACGTGTTCCTATATACAACTTAATTTTACGTAAGCCATGCCTGTGTGCTGTGTTAAGACGCATACCCCATGCAGGCAGATATCGTGCATCACAGACATGCGAACTTACTACATGTGTGCATGTGCTGCGTGTAGAAAGTTTAATGCACACACGGATCGACATATATAGGTTTCTAGTACAGTGTGATAAAAGAAGGATATGCCAACGTAGAGATATAATTTATACATGCACACACACAGACACACACAACTCCCTAAACTAGCTCCTTAATTCAACATGGAATTGCACTCTTTGCACTCCCGGGCACAGGCTTCAGCTGAAGGGCAGCCACCTGCGACTCTGTGCCGGGCTCGGTTTTCGTGTCGGCTTGGGCAATCTCCAAGGCGCTCTGGAGCTCCTGAATGGAGCGAGATATCTACCATTAACACCATACAAGGCTGCACCTGAATCCCTGTAATCCCGGCCTGAATTAATAGACTTGATCGATATCGATATATTATTGTCCATAGGGGGGGCTTAGGGATCTTAGGGGGGCCTCAGGGCTGCAAGACAATTGTTCCGAACATGTAGTGTATATATAGGACAATATAGGACCGAAGTTGAATACCAACAAGCACAGATTTCCTCGGCAACGCTCTGCAATGGGCCCAAATTGCCCTCAGAAGCAGCACGCAGGAGGCAGGACAAGCCACTCACGAGGGTGGCTGCAGAGTGCACGTCTTTGTTCAAAGCCATTGCGCAGCAGGCTTTCCACGGCTACACAAGAACGGATTCGTTCACAAGCGCACAAAAGTAGCGCAAAATGTGGCCCAAAACAGAACCAGTTGTTGCGTGCCGAAAAGCGCTCGTTGCGTGCCTAAAAGTGCTCGTTGCGTGCCTAAAAGTGGTTGTTTGGATTTCGCGTTTTTTACATAAATTAACTTAATCCACCCAAAGGGACACGCGACCGCGCTGGTCTGAGCCTGCAGTCCTACAAAGGCCTGCAGGTCTGAAGCGGGAGCCTGGAAAGTGCAGAGCACGCAGCCCTGAAGTGCACAAACCGCGCAGCATGCAGCCCTGAAGCCCGCAACCCCGAAGCCCGAAGCTTTGAAATCCGATTCTCGCAGCCCTGAAACCTGAAATCCTTAGGCCCCTAAAAGCACGCTGCACGATTAGCAGAAACACGCAACCCTGAAATGGTCCAAAGCTCAAGCCTGAAGCCACGCCAGCCCGAAACCCTGAAACCTGAAAACACGCAACTCCTAGCTGGCTAAAGACGGAAACACGCAACCTTGAAATGCCCAAAGCCCGCAATTCTGAAGTCCCGCACGGCACCCCTGAAATCTGAATCCCCGCAGCCCCGTGAAGCCACGCGACCTGGAAACACGTAGCCCTGAAGCCCGCAAGCCCACCACACAATCTGCAAGCCCCTGCCCTGAAGCCACGTGCCTGGCTATATATATATATATATATATTATATACGACATGCAACCTGAATTCCGGCTGCCCTTCTTAATTCATATAGATCGAACTCCCAGCCCTGAAGCCCGGAGCCCTTCGATCGAAACCTACGCAAGCTGAAGCCAGTATCTTCCAAACCTAGCTGTGTTCACACGGCACATTCTCAGCTCGCCTTAAGATGACCATACAAACCGCTGCACAAACCTGAGGTGTATATCACTTCGATCTGCAGCCATTCGAATCACCGTGCGCGCCCAAGGTCACTGGGCCAGTGCTGGGTAAATGTAAGAAACCGCAGCACCCAGGGGTGAAGATCGTTTATGCATCCGCGGGTATATAAATATAGAGCTACCCAGCTAAGTAGCTAGCTATACCCACTGTAGAAACCCCCCATATGAACCCTTAAAATTATAATTAAATATTGAGCTAGTATACAGTTTATTTAAGAGCTCTAGCAGGCTTGTGGAGAATCCTGAACATTGCACTCCCTTGTGAGATAGCACTGCAACCGCAAAACGTTGCATGTAGGATGGATTAACTGCATATGGGTTTTATAGGATTATGTAGGCCGGGTTTATGTAGGGTGTATTTTGTATAGAATCGTTCGACAGGAAAGCGTACTCGGATCCTATGTTTATAGCTCAATTAACGAATTTAGGTTGTTTCAGACCATACCATACGTCCCGCATGACGCATCGCAGCCATGCAGGTTAGCACCCAGCCGTGCAGCTTAAAGTCTCGATCGATGAATTAAATTTATCGAGACTACACAGCTGTGTCTTCATGGCACACGGTTTCCTCTCGAAGCTTAGATAGGACCACAACTGGACCCAATAGCTGATTAAGGTCGACTCTGCTTGGAGGCCCTTTTGACTTAGTAAGTCTACTTAGTATCCCCTATAGAAACCCCATTATAATCCCCATAACCCACCTTACTAACCCTACTTACTAAGTCAAAAGGGCCTCCAAGTGAAACCCTGTAATTTCAAAACCTTATACTTATCATGGGTTTGGAAACCTCCAGCTTCAGACACCAGCCATGGTCGTATATGCATGCAGCTAGGACTGCACTCCGAATTAAGACACGCGTGAGCACAGTGCAGTATTTAAGTCTCCGGACCAAACTAGCTAGCTATGCACAAGCATGCTGTGTTCACGTCTACATGTAGACATGCTGCCAACTCGTGTGTGTGTGTGGCATGGTGTAGAGTATGCATGGGATGCAGTGGCAGCAGCACGTGTCGAAACGACTATGCAAAATGACTTTTGGGGAAGCAGGGTCTCCATTCCTCGGGGATACGTAGACCTTTGGCCCCGTAAACATATTTCAATAACTCTGGAACACCGGCATCAGACCAGTCATCGAAACCCATATCCATTGCCCGAAGCTTCTGAACGGTCAAGGAATCCACCATGGAGGCGGGCCGCAACGCCGGGGACTTGTTGAAGGAAGGCAGAATCCTGGCCATGTGGTCACCGAAGGCTGTAGTGTAGGTCCTGGGCTAAGATAGGGGATCTTGAAGATTTGATTGTAATGGGGATCGACCTATAGATGATATGATACGGTTTTTAATGGAACTCAGGCTCTGTGTTCCCTTCAACGATGGGTTTCCTGTGAACTTCTCTTTGCCGTCTTTCCCAATCTTACGTGTCACAGGCCGAACATCACCATGAAGTCGCCTCTGTTTCAGTTTGAAGTCCGGGGAAAGCTTACCTTTGCCGAATTTCAGGATCTTGGGGTTCGAAGACCACAAAGCCGTTCTCTTCGGGCAGCTGTGTCCGTAATGCATCATCCAGAAACGAGAGATATATACCTGCGGGGTGCGGGGGTTTGGGCTGCCTTAAAACCCTACTTGGAGGATCAGGGGACTTAGTAAGTATAGGGTTATAAGTAAGGTAACTATAGTTATATCTACTTGTAACCTTAATTATGGTAACCCTACTTACTAAGTCCCATGATCCTCCAAGTATATTGCCCCATACGAGCAGTAAAAAAGTAAACACCGTATATAGTTGCTATAGGAATTATTTACGAAATTAATGATTACAATGCTCACAACTTGCATGCAATAGCAAAGATTCTAGCCTTGTGGATCCGACAGAACCATTGGAATCGTGGGTGGCGATATATCAATGACGAACCAGGCTGTTCGATGACCCAGCTAGCAGACATGGCCACGCACAATAGTGAAATGAGAATGGTCCTACCAAGGCACGGAACAGGGCCACATCTTCGAGGGGCAGGAAAAGCCAGGGACCCTGTTTGCCGATGTTTCTACAGAGGTTCCTATATAGAGTTTATATAGGGTTTAGGTTTAGGGTTTATAGTGTGGGTGTTTAATCATAATTGATTCTAGGATTGTTTGGAAGGTTTAGCCAATTACAATACCCACGACGTATCCTGCAGAGCTGTGCATTGCCCATCGACACGCTGGGCGCTTCTCTATGTCCACAGGGATTCAAGAAGGTTCGTCCGGTAGAACTGCGGCAAATGGAAACCCAGGAGGAGCACTGTAGTCCCTGCCACAAAGTGAAGCCTGAACTGGATCCTCTGAGCACGGAGAGAAGATGCAACCTTTGATCTCAATTGAGTGTTTAGAACTTCTAGGCAGCCTCACTATACAGACTATATATACATCATAACCCAGTCTAAGCGACGCAAATCCCGCAGGCCTCAATATATCCATGGCCGGGTGAAGATTGATGTCTAGAGACACGGCAGTTCCCCGGCCATACATCTTGTCGACTTGCCCACTCATTGTTGCGGAACCGGCATAATGCTCGATGAACGGAAACTCCTTCAAACTTCCATTCCAAATTGCCAGAACTATATGAACGAAGAGCCCGGACTGATACTACCATATAGTCTATCTAGGAACCGTATTAAGACCTATATAGCTCCTATATGGCCCGAATATACTGAATTATAGAATCTCAAGATCCCGAATAACGACCCGGCCAAGCTTATCTTACTGAGTGCAGTCCCGGTCTGTGTAGAGCCGGTCATTGAAGAGCAGGCACAGCACGACCAGAATGAAGGCCTGCATGTGTTGGCTTAGGAAGACTCGAGCTACAGACCCAGGCAGGCCATAAATTTTGCTGCAGTATATTAGCACGTTTTCTACAGTGTTCGAGAGCTGGCATAGGTATGTATACTAATGTCAACGAGGTGTCCTGGGGCGGCGGGTGAATGAAGGCATATGGCTACGGGGGTTCAAACACAAAAGCACGCCCAATCACACGCACAACAACCAATCACACGTGCAACAAGCTGAGATGCACAAATGGGCATGAATCGTTGATCCGACGCCTGATTCGCAACGTAACAAGTTCTCTTACTTGCTGCTCCAGGCCTCCGTCTATATGGCCTTTAGGACTACCGGGCGAAAGTGCCTGAACACTGTATCCAAAACGACCGTGCAGAAGCCGTAAGGCTTGAAACCATGCAATCAAGACCGGTCGCAACCAAATCGCGATTCCAGTTGCTGAAGCGATTGCGTAACAGAGTGCCTGAAATCTAATATCCCGTGACTTGGCTTGAGTGGACGCAACGCATCACTGACAGCAGAGAGTTGGCTTTTCATCTCAAGCATGCGAGAAGTCTCTTCGACGTCTAAAGTCGCAGCCCCAAATCCAAAATGAGAGGCGGCCTCAGCGGTAGCAGCAACATGAAGGAACGATGTCAATAGCGCGCTTCTTTGAGGGCTCTAAAGTAAGGTGCAACCATGGGGCTACCCAGCGAGCAAAGGTTTGATGTTCATGCGAATCCGAAGATGCACAGGTACACAGGCACCGTAGGCGATGTGGAACAGGCACCGTAGGCGATGTGGAACAACATGAACCGGAAGTTTGCGTCATAGGCCATAGAGGAATGAATGAATTGAATTGAACTGAAGATTAATTCCCCTCTGGATCGTCTCGATCGTGCATACATCGACATAGCATAGCAATTGAAGCCATCGGATTCGAAATCAAACCTGCAAAACTGATTCTGGGAAACATGCCACCGCTCGGGCATCTCTTCCGAAAGCCGAAGAGACTGAATCACTTCGATGCAGCCTTCCTTCTTGCCCCCTTCGGGGTTGGGGCTTCCTTAGTCTTGTCCTTAGGCGCTGCCTTCGCCTTGCTCTTGCCTTTGGCTTTGGGTGACTTGGACGCCTTCTTCACGCTCGGGCTTGGTTTGGATTTGGCCGCAGACGAAGGCTTAGATGGCTTAGATTTGTTGGGTTTCGTGCTGGGTGCATCTGCTGGGGCTGGGGTCGGGGCCGGGGGATCAGCAAGCTTCCTCGCCTGCGCCTTTTCTTTCTCCTGCCTGCGTAGGTCCGCGTCAAAGAACTTGTCAAAGTTCGCCTGTGTGGTGTCCACGAATGTGTTTGAAAGTTTTGGTTTTGGGACAGGTGTTTGCGGCTCGTTTTCCGGAGCTGCGGTCATGCTCTGGGACAGCTCGTCGAACTCCTTGTCAAGCGCCTCGCATTGCGAAGCATCGACAAAGGCAGCATAGTCACGATGAGCGCCAGGAGCATCCGAAAGGGCGACAGGGCGAGGATGAGCGGATGTTGAACTGCTCGCAGTTGCACGGTGGCTCACTCGCTCCACCAACTGGTGCCACAACTCCTGTGCCTTATGGCAATCCTCGTGGGTCTGCTGAAGGATAGCATGGGCCTGCGAGTTCAAGGCATCGATGGTCACTCCAGCGACGTTCAACACACGCTCGAGACGAACAGCTGCACAGTCCAGCAGACCATCGCACATGCTGGAATCCTGCATGACACTGGACATCAAATGCTAGAACCTCTCAACTCGACTTGAATCACGCTGCACCCCCAACCTCGTTCGTGACAGCCGTCGTCACCAATGATAATGCTTCATGAACTGCAAGCTGAACGGAAGCATCATCGTCATCCGACACCCAAGGAACCAACTGCAGGTCGTGTGGCTTAAGCTCCAGGAGGCTGGACGTCTCCGGAGTTACCGAAGCATCTGGATCTGAAGCAAACTTAGGGGCACGACCGCCGCGAACAGGGCTTTGGATTTCATCCTTCACACCGTTGAGCTTCTGCTGAAGATGACACACCATTTTTCTACCATGCTTGAAGTTGTCGCACAAGCCCCTATGAGCAGTACAAAGACGGATGGCGGCATCGTAGACCCCGAGGTCGAAATTCATGAGCTGGTCCCGTGTTAATACAGGGAACACCTGGCAAACGAACTCATAGACACTCAGACGTCAAACGTCTATTCAAACCTGCGATCTACTACATAGCATGTGGCCTTGTAGTCCTGCCAACACTTAAATCTTAGAACTCGAGATTGAGGGTGCATTTCTTCTGAAGCGAGCAGTCGAGCTGCCCCCACATCAGCCGGGGCATCCTCCGATTCCACCGGGCAATCTTCCAAGCACCCCGTGTTCACGTCGGCCAGCAAGTACCCTGGTGGAATCACAAGCACATCGCCTGACTCCACGAGGCAAGCGAAACCTCCAGAGTTCTTGATTTCTTCACGTGACATGCCTGCGAACCTTGTGCAGATGCCACCGATGTCAGCGCTGGCATCTGCGATGTCCTTTTGAAAAGCCATAAGTGGCATCCCGACACAGACACGTTCTCCTCCAACAGCCCAAACCAATCTGCCCCACAGCAAATCGGAAAAGCCCATCCACTTGTGACGCGGCCCTGAGTACTGGATCTTTCCACTGAGCACTTTGGACCACTCAGACGGCATGAAGTCGTGCTCAAGCAAGCCTTGCACAGCGTCGACACCTCAGCAAGCATCATCTAAGCAAATTTCCTCACCCAAGGCAAGTGAAACAACCCAATGGACCGACTCAGAACGAAAGCCGCGACACCTGCAACCAACTTCTCGAGTACTTCGGGCAAACTCTTGGTCCATTCATCCACCGGCGATGCGATCACTGACTTGAAATATGTCAAGTTCTTTGGCTTGCCCTCATCACCGTCATCATCGGCAGAATGCTCGTCCTCATCATCGCTCCCAATAACATGCTCTTTGTACATAGCATCTGAGACTTCTTGGTCAAACCCGAACCCTTTCAAGTCCAGGCTTGTGAGCATCGTTGGGTTCACGAAAGTCACGGAATCGGAAGAAGAGCCACGGCTAACATAATCCACACCGACTGCTTTGTTCCTGATCAAAGCATCAGCCCCTTGCGCGAACCGCCACTCCTGGTCCTTGGTATCTTCATTATCTGCATGCCCGGGGTTCTTACCACCACCGTGACCATTTTTGTCTTGACCCGGCACTGCATCGGATCCATCCGAATCCTCCCCACTCCCACTCTGGAGCTCCTCATGCGCCTTACCCTGCTTGATGCCGGCTACCCTGCCTTTTGCCTTCCGTGACTCCATTGCTCTCTTCTTCTTCTCCAGCCGCGCCTCTAACATTTCCTTCATCGCCTTCTCTTTCTCTGCCTGTTCCTGGTGGTGCTCAATATCCTTGTCCAATTGCGTCAGCGCCTTTTTCAACAACCCTTCATGGCCTGCCATGCGCCTGTCCCACTCACTCAAATCCTTCTTTGATCTACACTGTGTGAGTGCATGCGTTGCCTCAGGACTGCGGTCTGTTTGCAACTTGTCGCCCAGCATACCCAGTCGCGTCGACTTCATGCTGGGTGACATGGGCACAATCGGCCCGCTGAGCGCGAGCTTCTCCAAAGCTTCCCCAACCTCGTCGCTCAACCTCGGAGTGTGAGCAACAAATCACGCGAGCAAGCAGCGACCGTCGGGTGGGAGGGCGGGCGGCGGGCGGAGGTGGAAAAAACATGACGCGCGCGCATCATGTCTTTTTCAACTGAAAGGGCTGGGTGCAGAGCGAGGGGCGCTGACAATTCTGGAAAATGTTCAGCTGCAGCCAAGGACTGCGAGGCCTCAACATTGAGGTTCTTGATGCGACCAACCCACTTCTGACTCACCTTGACCACTTCGGAGTCAATCTTCAGTTGATCAAGTCTCTTCTTTGCCTCTGGGTCTATCCGCGACTTTGAGGAAGATGGTGGGCCATCTTCTTCAGCACCTGCCTCTCGCGACCTTTTGCTACTTTTGTTTGGTTTGGCCTTGGCCTTGGCGCCGGCCCGCGTGTTGTCGTTCAAAGTCAGGAGATTGAGTCCTGGCACGAGCCGTGTAGTAGATCGCCTACCACTAACAACTAACAACACATGCTCATGTATTGTTCAACCCACATCAGCCTGAAGCTGCCGACATTTTCACCTCGACATCTAGCCGCGACTGAGCTAGACCTGAGCATGGGAAGCACGACTACAAACGCTTCGACACTGCAACGAAACAACTCGACACTTGAGCTCTAGCTTAACAGTTGCAGTGGTAAGGACATGGCCTGTTGACAAATTCTCAATAGCTTCTTCATCACCAACTTTGTGCTTGTTCTTTTCCATGATTTTGCGCTTGTTGCCGATCCGTAAGCCAGACACATCCGACTCTTCGGCCAGCTTCGCGATGGTCAAGTTCCCGTACTGATCGGTTTTGCGTTTCACGTTCTTGTCGCGAACTGCCTTGTCCCACTCCTGTTGCGCCCGCTCTTCGCTCCACCCGTACCATTTCGCGCCCTTGCGCTTGAACCTGACCAGGTTGGTAAAGAAGAACTTGATCGCAACATGCAAAAATGCGACATTGCACATCAAGCCCGCCTTAACTCTGTCAAATAAGGCACTGCTGTAGCACTGTCGGCATACTTGTCCACTTCAACCTTGCAAATGCGCAAACATGAAGAAATCGGAGTGACACTGCACAGTGTCACCAATTGCTGTGTCACGATTATGCCTAGGAGCTTCGTGAATAGCGACAAGCTTCCTCGCCGTTCCACGACCTCCTTGGCCGCGGTTTGCGATCACTGTCTCTCGTTTCTCCTCTGGCGACTTTGTTTGCCATTCTGGATCGTTCGTGGTCAGCCACCTGTAAGCTGAATGGCATTTGGGGTCTCTGAAGCGCCTCCCAAACTTGACAGCTTTGTTGATCGAGCATAGTTTGCCACAATCCAAGCAGTTGACCTTGATCGACGCACCATCTGAGAGGTCAGATGATTCTCCGTCTGACATGGCTGTTGGCTTAATGCACTCAAACACAACAACAAACTCGCGGAGTACCGATTGAGCGAGCAGAAAGCTGGAAAGAAGTGAATGCTAATCAAGAACCAGCCCACTGCTTTTCACACACCTCCAGGGTGACGTGTGACATGAAGCATGACCCATGAAAACCTGGGTGATCCGAGTTTCGGCTTGCCTTCGCACGTCCTGCGTCGCGAGTCGATGACTTCGTCTTCTTGCTGTACAGCAAAGCAATCGCGAAAGCCTTTCCAACGGAGGCTCCATGCATCGAATTTCCGACAAGTGTGCACCGGCCTGTGTTAGAAATGCTCTCCATTCGACTGGGTCTGCATTTCATGACCCGAGCCACATCGGTGCTGATTGGGATGGAATGTAAAGATAAAAGGTCGGCACCGGTCACGAACCGCTTGTGGTTTTTCAGCCACACGCGGTTACACCCGGTTGTCAGGGGAAACAAAATTTTCGAAGCACGCCGGGCACGTTGAGACGGGCTTTGGTGCAGGTCAAAGGCAACCATGTCTGGAAACATACGCTCGTACTGCAGCCGTCCTTGGTTGAGAGCACACGCTACCAAAGCAGGACATTCCAACATTACGTGCCTAGTGCTCGTGCACACGCGCGCGTAGGCACCGTGCTGGTGTTGTAGTTTCCCTCACATTCGTCCACATGTTCGGACATCGGGAGCAGATCCAGAAACGAAGATGTGTGGAGTTCTTCCATAGACACACGTGTTGCGTCCAAGAGCTTGCCAACATCACAGTTCAGCCTAGGATCCGTACGTTGCACAAGAAACGTACAGACTGTTTGACTCTGCCGCATCAGAAGCACGAAGGTTAGCAAGCTGAGGCATGCGCTCCATGTGGCGCCGGCCAATCACCATGTATTTCCTGTGGCGCGATACGGGAAATCCGGAATCTTGAGGATCCAAGCTCATTGTGGCCAGTAGACGACAACCATCGCCTCCCGTGGAAGAACCGGAGGGCGTCGGGCTTAGTTAGGGTCGGAAGACCGTCAAGACAAGCCTCAATAGCAACATCATGAGATATGCTCGCAGCGACACCTTCCTTAACTACATCGTGCACGCATGCATGCATGTTCTTCGGCGACAACAGCGCGACAAACTTTGAGCTTGACACAACTGCATGTTCCTGAAGATGGCTTTGACAGCACAACAAGATGGCTTTGAAAGTGCTTGAGATATACGTCACCCACCCACACCCGCACACACGTCATCTGAGGTTGCCCGGATTAAGGTCAAAAGTTTTAGTCTGGGGCTGCTGGAGGTATGCACCTAGAAGTTCCATCATCTTCTTCTCTGGGAATGTCTTCACGTTTTCATGGATAACCAAATCCCACTGAAACTCGCGCAGCATCTTGATCCTCAGCTGGACGAACCATATGCGACAACATATTCGAATCACGATGCTGAAAACTGCCTCAACCTCGCAGCCTAATAATTCGCAAAGACACATCGTCAGAAGCACTGGCGCCGAAGCTCCTTCAACACCCAGCCGTTGGCCCCAGAACGACCAGTCCTTGTATTTACATGGATCACGATGCAGCGATCAAGCTGGAACGACATGCGTTTTCGTGAAATGAATGCCGTCAAGGCTCAACACACGGTGACCCCATAATACCAATGTTCAATGTTCTGCTGGAGGATGTGTGACTAGCTCCACGGCAACACTCTCGATCGTGCCGGTAGCAACTTGGGATTCACGCCGGGCTACGGGATCTGATTGATCAGGGCCAAGCTGAAAAATTAGTATTTCTGGTTTAGCGGCATGGAGGAGTGATGGAAGCGGTCAGCGCACAAGCACAAAAACGATTTGGGGTGTCTACCATGATATCTCCCTATAAGCATCTACGAAAGCAAGGTACTGTAAGTTGCCCTCAGTTCTTTTGCGTTCAGATCGCGATCCGAAATTTAATCCAAATGAACGCCCCATTTTTGGCCAAAAGTCACGCGGCGGGGCCACGCATCATGAGCATCAGTGGGTCTTTGTTGGGGACGGGGTCGGCAGTTCTTTTGCGATCCGATATATGATCCAAATGAACGCCCCCTTTTTGGCCAAAAGTCGCGCGGCAGGGCCACGCATCATGAGCATCAGTGGGTCCTTGTTGGGGACGGGCGCCACGCATCATGAGCATCAGCGGGTTTTGTGGGGGCCGAGTTTGTGGGTCAAAATTCAATCTTATATTTGACCCTCAAAAGCGGGGCAAGCAGACAAGCATTATGAGCACCAAGTTGCACCGTTTTGGGATGGTTGAGCCGCCCAGGGAACTGTGGGGCCAATGTGTGGGGGAACTGATGGAGCGTGGAGATCAAAGTGCTCAAACCAGGCCCCCCCCCCCCAGAAAAAACGTGCGCACGCGGAGAACTACGGCCACTCAAGGCAAAGCTTAGTTCCGGGCAGGAGGATTTGACAACGTCTTGGGAAACTGCCTAACCACAGGAAAATGTCGGGATTGCAGCCAGGCGCTATGAAGACCGGCGGCATGCATACTTGGGATCCAGGATGAGAGGCACCAACTCGTCCAGCGTCTTCCTCAGGTGTGGCCAGCCATAGTTTGTATCATGGTTCGTAGCGCGGAAACCAGTTCGTATCATATGATACGAACCAAAGGAGCTATATAGTACGAACATGATACGAACTAAAAATCCATGATACGAACCATGATACGAACTATGATACGAACTATGATGCGAACTGCGTAGTTATGCCAAAACCGAACACCTTGCCCACGTTCTGTCGTGAATCGCGCGCGAGAAGCACATCTCACAGCTTGCAAGTCTTGTACTCGACAACATTGACCAAAAGGCCGCAATTGCATCTTCCACAGAATCATGCCCTGGCAAACCTACCAACACCCAACCTCTGTGCGCACCATGAGTGCCACCCAATCGAACTTTCAACTTTGCGTCCTTCGTGAACAGCTTGGACCGCATGTCGTTGACACACGAGCATTCTCGCCCTACAGCGGCAATCACGTCATCAGCAGAAACTGTCACCTCACACGACTGGCATGGAACCAAAACAAAAGCATGCCACTGGTGTCGAGAGAGAGAGAGAGAGAGAGAGAGAGAGAGAGAGAGAGAGAGAGAGAGAGAGAGAGAGAGAGAGAGAGAGAGAGAGAGAGAGAGAGAGAGAAAGAGAAAGAGAAAAAGAGCGAGAGAGAGAAAAAGAGCGAGAGAGAGAGAGAGAGAGAGAGACAGAGAGAGAGAGAGAGAGAGAGAGAGAGAGAGGGAGTTATTATCACCATCATCACCATTACCGTCATCTCGCCATCATCACCATGGTCATCATGATGACGTTCTCTCCTTATCGATGTGTTGGGGCTTGGAATTGTGTTCAACTTACGCAAGCTGAGCCGAGCGGCATGTTCCAGGACTTTGGTATCTATCTGTCCACGAAGTTCATCAGGTAGTAGGTCGAGAATATTTCCAAAGCAGCACGCATCAGGATCTTAGTCAGCGACACTTGACCTACACTAGCAACAAGCAACCCCGAGCCCACACCTTCAAACTCCAACATCCTGGGTGGTCAAATGTAGTTTAGCGGCTGCACTACTTTTGACAGTCCTCGCATACCACAGACGAGGTGGGTATTTGACGTAGACCTTTGATAAGCTTCGATTTGCTTCAGGGCGTCTGCAGCATTGGAAGTCCACAATGCATAAACCTACAGCTTGCAAACCCCAACTCACCCCTGATTCCGAAGCATTATAAGCTATAAGCCTTAAACCTAAGCTTAAGCCCGAAACCCAAAAGACTAAATTTCTACACCTTCAAACCCCAGCAACCGCATCCTCCTTCGGTCCGGAGGGACAGTGGGTCTTCATTTGTGTTCTTGTGTCGCACGTTGCTGGGTACTTGATGCTTTACGGTTTCGGAATACTACTTGGAAGGGCAGGGGACTTAGTAAGTAGGTTATAAATTGAGTTATAAGTACCCTAAAATAACCCTATACTTATAACCAACTTACTAAGTCCCATGCCCTTCCAAGTACAACACAGAACGAGTTGCCTAAGGCCCAGACGTGTTTGCATGCACACCGTCCTGCATTGGGGTTTGATGTCCGCCATTGACACGAAATGGAGATTTGGTATCGCACCACACAGATGATTGATTACCGACTCCACCGCGCTCTCGGCACAGGCACTGCCAGTGAACTCTGTAAAAAGATTGACGGTCTCGTACTTACAGAATGTGCTGTCGCCCTGAAGCACATCAACGAGTCGGCGTGCCCAGTCCCAGCTCTTCAGAGCATCCGGTGTACTTGAAGATTTTCTCCGCTTGCTGCCAGCATCTGTTCTACAGGCTGTGCATGGGCTCAGTTTCGCTTTACGGACCAGGCACTCAGACGCCTCATCAAAGTCGAAAACTGCTGTTGCCAAGTCCATCAGCACTGTGCGGTCTACATTGAATCTACATCATGAGTTTACACACCTGAGGATACTCGAACTCCTAAGGAGTCTTGCAGGTTATATATAAAGATACAGGCAAGTGAGCATTTCGGACATACATACCACATGACCGAATTTTTCCCGACATTCTAGCCTCTAGACTCCATGTTCAAGGTCACACTCGACAAGCTCGTGACATAAGCAAGAGGGCATGCTGTCAGGATGCATCGCATGAGGTTTCAGTGTCACAGACAGTCCTGATTCCTAATGCTCACGCAGTCTCACCTGGTGCTCTTTTGTTTTGCACCGCTACCCTGTCAACACTACACTACACTACACCATGCATCGCTCCACAAAAAAAGATACGGCTGGCCACGTCAACACAGTCTCTTGACAGCGTCGAAATACCAAGTCAAGACCTTGCATGCTGCAGGCTGTAGCAACAGATGCCCACACAACATTCAACGACCAAACTCACATGTTTAGGGCTACAATTGACGACAAGTTTCAACGTCTTCTGCAGTCCGCTTGCGTGAATAAAGCTGGTGCACTCCCCAGAACCGCCGACCACTCATATCCACACCTCAGAATCCAGGTCTTGTTCGCATGGACCCTTCACTCCCGGCCATGCGCCGAACATGTGCTGATCAAGCGACGGTGAGCAGCCTGACGAACTTGCTCTCGAGGAACTCTAGCACACCATGCAGGCTCCCGCATGACTTCGAGCAGCACCGGTAGCAGGATTTCACAGACCGCACGATGCCCGTCAGTGCGGCATCGAGGCTCAAAGAAGGGCACAGGGACACTCTCGGATTTCCCGGCATTGCCAGCATCAAGCTGGGCCTCCACGTCAGCCGGGGGAACACTGCCAATGTCCGTGTCTGGATTCATCGCACCATCGTCAGTGCCAGTCGCATCCTCGTTGGCATGTGACTCCTCCAACCATTCTGGCGGAATCGGCGGATCATCATCATCATCATCTTGAGGGTCGAAGATGTTGCAATCCTCCAAATCCTCTTCGCCAGACGAAATAACCATTAGAGGATCGCCAGAATTGCCGGGTTGAGACTCTCGAGACAAGACCTCGGGTGCGGCAGCGCTAGTTTTGCGACTCTTGCGTGGAGGAATGGAGTGTGCACGAGGTCGCCGGGCACGCTTCACTTTGTGAAAAAAAGATTCATCTCGCCGTGGGTCAGCTCCACAGCACCCGCCTAGCACAATCGAACGACAGCCAAACATTATTTCGCGATTCGAAACAAGACACCAACGTGCACCCATTAAGAACTTCGGTTTGCGGCCTTGCAAAAACTGCGCCAAAGCCTCATACCCCTTTGCATTCATCCCTCTTGGCACCATGAAGGTAGCAGGTGATTGCATTCGCATCGCAAGCAGCAGCGTGTCAAAATAGGCGCGCAGACCAGAATGAGCAAAGTTCTGGTTCTCTTCATAACTTGCGGCTTGCTGCGGACCTGGGATGCAGAAGGTGTCTACTCAAAGACTCTATTCCAAATTTCAAGCAAGAGCTGCAGCTGAGTTTCATTCAATCAAGATGACATAATAGCTGGGCGCCCTGTTGCTCCCGGAGAAGTATTTCCGTGCGGCTGACAGTCTCTTTCCTTTCTCAGCTTCGCACCAACCCTGAGACCGAAGCTGACGACGCAGCGACCACAAGCTATGGTCGATTAGGTCACCGGGCTCATCAAGCGGCCTGACAGCTGATAAATGCGTTTCAAAGCTCATCGCAAGCGATTGCACCACTAGCTGCCGGCGGTCATTGTACTCGCCGAGCTCGTGCTCCACGATCCAATCAGCAGCACTCTGATGCGACGGTGGTACACTGAGCGGCAGTCCTGTCTGCACAGCCTTTTTGCCAAGATGGCATATGGCAGTCCTGAGAAACAGCTGTTTGCAAGTTCGATTACACTACACAAGGAGGCTCGCACTGTCGTCAAAGTTCAGCTCGCTACAGGCAAGACTCGTGAGGGCCAAGTCATGACACTCGGTCTCGTCAGACAACATGTCATCTACCATCTCCGTGTCGAAATCGACCCGATGCTCCACAACATGGAACTGATGAAGGTGATCTATGTTGTTGTTCTTAAAAAAAGATTCCAGTGGAATCGTCTGAACACTGCAGGTTTGTGATCGGACCACTCGGGCAGCATCAACTGTTGGGGGGTCCACCTTCTCGCCATCTTCCAAACAAACGCATGGGTTGTCTACGCTGAACGACCCCAAGACCGCACACGCAAGCTGACCGTGCCAACGGTTCGTCCCCCAGTTTGTAAGCCTCTGCATGTACTTCTTGTTGCTTGGACGAAAACCCAACAATTGAAAGCACATATACTGTGTGACATTGGGATTGCTTTGTTGCAAGCAAGGCATGCAATAATGCCCCGACTTGCGCATGAGGCTCATGACATGATCCAACTTGTCACGAAAAGATGGATCATCCTCGGTGGTATCTTTGCTCGCGGCAGCAATCATCTGCATATCAGGTGAGCGATCGGCAAACATGATTTCAAGATTGTGCCCCGTCGTGAAAGACTGCAACTCTTTAAATGACCCCCATTCTTCTTGCACAAGACAAGAGAAGCTGGAAAGATATCTATCCAGATTGCGTTCAAACTCCGGCCGCTCCAGATCGAAGTTCAAAGCACGTCGTATATTTGCAGAAAGGTGCGCCACGCCCAGGGCTCGCGCTGAACACATCCGCACCTGGACAGCCACAAAAAAAAAGCACATGTACTAGTTACTAGGGCAAAGATGCAAGTAGATTGCATGTTCTGTCCCTCACAGTTCTCTTGCTGCAGAAAAAAAACGGCTGCGCCGGCCTGAACTAGGTGGTGCTTTGCTTCCAGCCGCTGCATGACATTCAGGCTGGAAGCATAAGCCAATAGTGCCCTGAACAGGGGCAAATCCATGAACTTGTCCTGGGAATTTGCCCAGCGCTTCAACGCCGATCTGTGAGTGGTCTGGAGAAAACGACGTCCAATGTCACCGACATCTCCGAATCTTCCCTGATCAAATTTCTGGAGCATTGTTGCTGCAGTTTGCCGGCTTTCCACAATAGCACCGGAACGGACAGATGCAGGCACGATGAGAAACTGCAACAGACTGATCAGATTCCAAGGTGGCTCCCTAACAAAAGATGTCAGCTGGGAGAATCGGGATTCAAGCATCCTCTTCGCCGTGACAAACCCCACCGAAATAATGTCCGATGCCAAATCAAAGCCTGCAGCCTCTGAAGCTCCTGAAACTTTGTGCTGCTCCTTTACCAGGAGGCCCATCGACTCCATAGCGAGAGACGAGTTCTCAATTCTCAACGAGCGTAAGTCACCCATGAATTCCAAAGCACTACCGCACGACAGTTCAATCAGCCGCCTGCCAGACCATTTGCAGTTGGCACCCTTATTATTTTTCCGATACTGGGCTCTGTCATCTTTGGTTGGATGACACCAGCAGCCATGTAGCCAGCCCACAACCGTGTGACCCCACTTGCACAAGATAAGCATAACCGCACACATTGCCCAGAACGTAGCACAAACTAGCTTGTCAGTGTAAAGAAGCTTGAACGCAGCCGCATCCATCTCGGATATGACATCGTCAGACTGCCCTGGCCGGCCATCACTATCCTCCCTGCTGGAAACAACATGGGGGTCCAAGTACATAAGAAACTTTCTGCGATCGGTGACCCACAAGAGAACATCGTGCATATACTGCCAGCGATGCTGGACAAGTGTTGGGCAACTGCTTTTGAACATTCCTGCAATCGATTTCTTCCGGGCATACCCTTCGATCTTAGGATTATCCCAAATACACTGTTTGACGAAACGTTCATTGTTGTCTGCTTTGCTGAAATGCTTAGCCATCGTGTTCAACTGCCGCTCCCATGCATTGTAGAAATCAGCTTTCCAACAATCGTTCAGCTCCAGCATTACATTGTGCAAGCCGTGGTCCAGATCGTGCAAGGGCAGCGCCTTGTCGAACCAGCGATCGTCACAGTCTGAGCTGAACCCAGGAACCATGGCCAATTTCGATTCGACCCCCATGTCATGCAACATGCTGAAGGTCCTGGCTTTGATCAAATCCTCACTTCCAACTTCAAGCCTCAAAGCCCTTAGTAAGGCCCTGTACTTGTAAGCAGTGTTTGTGGCCCTTCGGCCAAGAACCTGGAGAGGCATGATGCGCGTGGAGAAGCCGACATCCTGCATCGCAGTGTCCAACTCACTAGAGAATGTCTTGTCCAAGCTAACCACATCCACTTCTGATACCAGGTAATCCCGGTTGAATTGGGGTGAAGAATCGACACGCACATGCATGATCCAATCACCGCCATCCCCGTAGACGTACTCTCGGGCAAACCTGCACAGGTGACGTGAAGTAACAAATCGAAAGCGTTTGTCTCAATTTGTCGCTGCATGTGCTGGCCAGGAAACAACATTGTACAAAGGTCCATCTTGATTCGAAACCCATAAATCGATGTGCGCTGGGGGAGCAACAAGTCCTGAGCTCATCGGCCACAAGCCAGCTTCTACTTAAAACGAAGCTGGAAACACCACGCAAAGACTTCGCGACGTCCGCGAAACTCACTCTATTTGCAGCGAAGTGTCGCCCTGCAACAGATGCTCGGCAACGTCCGGCTGCAAAACCATTTTCAAGCACCTGGGTTCAAGCGGGGCCGCGATGCCACAGTATTATCGAAACAGTCTCAAATCAGCTCTGCTACAGATCATCGCCCCAACACCGCCCGCCTGCCTTCGAACTGCTGGTCCCATGCAGTCCTCGTGCTGTAGAGGCCGAAGGCAATCGGCCAGCAACACTGTGTGAAGCATGTAATCAGCAGCATACTGCCAACCTGCAGGGATACATCTGAACAAATTCCGAGGCCTAGGTGCCTCAGCTTAGGGCGCTGGAGATTCAGGCAGGGTGTTTCTTGTGCGTGGATTCCTTCGTGCGAAACTGCGAAACTAGACCGCGCAAATCAGATGCACAACAGGACCCTACCTCCTTTCTTTCGTGATTGACGCCCGGATGAGAACACCAGCAACGACTTGAGGCGTCGCACACTCGCTGCTGCAGGCTCCAACTCTCCCGTCGAAATATGTTCCAAAATCTCGGCAAACAGTGCATCCACTGCACCAATCAAGGAAGCGTCTGTCTGAGCCTCAACTCCTCTATCTGTTCTGCATGCGGGTGTTATCTGAGATCCAGCGCCCTCAGAAACCAGCCAGGGCAGGCTAACGCTAGAGAAATTGCGAGACGATGAACGGACAGCAACTTGCTTAGATGCCCGGACGTCGGCTTGAGTCACCCTGACCGCAACTCTGACCCGTCCGTCTTGCCAAGGTATTTTTCCGAAAGACGCCTCCAAAGTGGCGAGAGTTTTTCCTCCTGCAGTGATGTTGTCCTGAGGCATGCAATGCACCCAGAAGCGATCTCCACGTACACATGCAAAAAGTCTGCATGTTCCTCGCGCCACGGTCGCACAACAAACTGCATGCAAGGGGCAATCTGAGATTGAATCATGCATTGGTCTGGGTACGACATTTTTGCCATCTGGTTGCGGCCCTGGATCACATTGTTAATTCGTAGTTTGGGGCTCAAAAGCCCCTCGAACAACAGCTCGTGACTTTCTGCAGAATCCCCACATCTGACAATGTGCATCTCGCAGTAATGCCTCGGATGGGTAAGGGCAGCGACAGGTGAGCACAAGCGGAAGAAGAATCAAGTCAGCCGAGGCACGTCCCAGACGAGTTTTCTCTCAGGAAACACCAAATGATTTTGGTGGCCAGACGTGGGTTTTGCCACCCGCGAACTGGGTGGTTGGCGGCTGAGCTGGACGATGACGACAAAGTTTCCGTGCTGCCACATCGCAACACGCATGCAGATCCGCTGTGGGCCATTGCAACTGCTTAAATTCTCTCGGTAAGGAACAATGTATACATCTCGAGGGGGTATGACGGTATGACTTTAGCATGTATTTGACTCAAGGTTGGGAGCTGCCACTGTGCAGCCATCTATTTGACTCAAGGTTGGAAGTTGCCACTGTGGAGCCCGATCGGCTCGATCCAAGCAGTTCAATCTACATCAGAGCTGAAATCCAAGATCTCTGACGGAACCCAAACCCCAGCACACGTGGCTGACATTAGTAGGTATGTAGCTAGCTGTTGTCGCAGTACTGTCAGCCTCCATGCGCAGAGAACCGTTTATGGATGCATCCACAAAATATAGAATGAACATCCGGGCCACCCGTGCAAAAAACAATCCTGGCTGGCCTTCGGCGCTTGAAGCCTCATGAGGTTCTCGATGAGCTGGTATAGCTCCATGTCCACACAGGAGGACCAGCTAGAACCAGAAGTTGCTCTGGGGAGGCGGTCGATGTTGGTATTAGCTCGATCAGTCACATGTGCTCTCGTGCAGTTGTGTCCCAAAGTGCAGCAGAAAGCCGCCATGCATAAACCGATTGCAACACACTCTGCATTTATGCTGGCCATAGAATGTATATAGGACGTCGAAAGGTGCATGCAACTGACAGAGTGCCTGCCCGTCGGATCGTGCCTGAATCTGATTCGGGAGTTTCTTGACTGTCAGCATCGGAAGGATCACGAGGACGACGTGGCATCACCTGCGCGGCGGCTGCCGAGTTTCGAAGGGTGTCTTGGATTCGGGCTCTCAGCTGCACAGATGGGTTACAAGCAGGGACACAGATTGCGCATGTGTGCATATGTTTGTCGAAAGCTACAAAGTCTTCACATGTGACATGCGGGGCACTGTGCAGATGCAGCATTCAGCACTCTCCCTGGGATCTTTTCCACTCGATTTCGCAAGCTGCAGAGTGCACAAAGGCTGGCAAACGAACCGATTGTACGATCCAAAACTTGAAAGAGCTAGGACAGCTAGGAGCCGTGTATGATGCTTATCAGCAGAGGCAGCCAACACTGCATTGAAAGTGTGCATGGTTCGATGTTGCGGCTCGCGGGGGATTAAGTTATTGCCTGTGTGGCGGCTATATAGAGATATGCAAAAAGTTCGGCCGGTAAATCATAATCTGAGGTGGCAGCTGCCCTGCCATCAAAATCAGCGGCCCAGGCCAAAGTGTGCACTGCAACAGGAGGTTTCCCCTGCTCCCCTGTTGCAAGCTTGTATCCAAACGCTAAGCCACTCGATAACTAAAAGCATCAGTCAGCGGTGCGCTTGGAGAGCATGGTCTGGTACTGCTTGAGTGTCGGCTTTTTTTGCCGTTCAAAGAACTTCTCTCCCTCGGGCGACCACGTCTTGCCTGCAAGCATCTTTGGGGCGGAGACTATATACACAAATGCACGAGAATATCATTTTGACCGACACAAACGTACTTAAGACTAGACACTGATCTTGTCGTCCGACAAAAAGACAAAGGTCTGGCTCTCTGCCGCTTCCTTCCAACCCTCCGCAGTCGTGACCGGGTTTGTTTTCACGTGCTGTGCCACCAGCTTCCAGAAGGGGTCCTGCAGAATGCAGAGGTGCATCGTGCACACACACACACACACATGCAGTAGACAGACGAAGATCCTACAGCAGCTTAACATGTGGTCGGGGTCCTCGAACTTGCCGGGGTACCTAAGGAAGGGTTTGATGCGGGTCACGAAGGCATCCCGGATGGCCAGAAACTTAGCTCTGAAGAACGGCCGTGATCCGCAGTACCGGCGTGCGAAGGTTGGCACGCCGTCATCCTTGTCCGGCTCCGGTTCCTCCTCCTCCTGCTCCTCTTCCTGCTCTTGCTGCTCTCCATCCTGCTCCTCATCGTCCGGATCAAAGGCTTCCTTCTTGGAGGCCTTTCCGCGAACACGCCGCAAAGGCTTCTCTGCAGCCTCCCAGGCGTCCCACGCGGCCCATTCCTCAGCAGTCCATTCCTGCTGCTCCTGGTCCTCGGTCCCGCCCTCTTCGTAGTAGACCGTAGCATTGTCCGCGTCCGCTGCTTCGGCCTTCTTGCTCTTCTTCGCCTTCCCACGCTTGCCCAACGCAAGCCTCGCAGCAGGCCTTTTTGCAAGCTTGCCTTTGCCCCGCTTGCTCACACCCGTCTCCTTGGGTGTCTCATCGTCCTCCGGGACCGCAGCCGTGGCCTTGTTGCACTTGCCACGAGCCTTTGCCGAGGCCTTCGCCTTGGGCTTGCCCTTCGGCACCGCAACTTCGGAAGCTTCCGGCACGCCCTCGGGGGCGTCGCCTTCACCCTCCGCAGCCTTGGCCTTCTTGCGGCTGGTCAGTGCCAGCTGCTGCTGACGCGACACCACGATGGCAGACTGAGATGACACCAGCATGGGAGCACACACTTTAGAGGGAGTACTGTCATACTGACATGTGCAAGAAGCTGCAGACCTTAATATAAGTTTGCCTGGCAGCTGGCTTGATGTCGTCAGTGCTCTCCAGAGCCAGCTGCTCACGCTTCCGAAGCCGATCCTTTAAGCTCTCAGCCCTTGCCTCATGGTCCTCACCCCGAAGCTCATCCGGCTCCCCGGCCTTCGCAGTGTTCGCAGCTGCAAATTCAATAGCAGCTGCATGCTCAGCCCGGGCAGACTCGAGCCAGGCATTCACGTAGTTCTCGGGCTCAGGATTCCAGGTCTGGGTGTCCAGTTCGTCGGGCCTTTTCAATGCTCCTGCACAACGGAAGCTGCGAGAACGCACGCATAAATTTTAAAACTCCCTAGAATTATACGCACTGCTTTAGCAGGAAGCTCACCTGAACTGGCAGCTGTCGATCTGCTGTCATTGTCCGATTCATCAAAAAGCTTGCGCCGCACCGAATCGCGCTCATCGTGCAGGCTCGGCCGCACTCTTTTGGAGCCCACCTGTTGCCTCAGCCAATATTTTTTTATGTTTGCAAACGGCGCATATATGCACACACATGGACACCATGACTCTTGTAATGCGCATGCAAGCTGCAGTTTCGCGTTGACCACTGCCAACACTTGACGCAACTTGTGAGGGTCCATGCTGGCAAGCTGAGAAGCCAAACCACCAGAAGGTTTCTTGGGCGCATGCTCCGGCGCAGGCTTGAAGCTGACGAACTCCTAAAGGAATCTGCATTCAAACGAAACACAAAACGTGCAGCAAACAACAGCTTGCATTGCAGAGCTTTACATGCACGCGCATATCTCAATCGTCGTTCCAATCGACCCCACACACGCACACATGTACACACCAAGGTTCGGGGCTTCCAGGCGACAGTGCCAAACTTGCAGCCTTCTTCGGAGTGTCCGCCGGGACGGCGACTTCGAGGCTGTCAGTGCCTGGCACTGACAGCTCGAGCGAGTCGAGCGGCTCCTCAACCGGACCCACCGCTTCTGCCAATCGGGGCTCAGGCTCCGGTGCGGCATTTGCGTTCGGAGGCGGCCACTCTCCGTCTCCGGGCTCCTCCGTCGATCCGTCCTTTACAGCCAGCTGCTGCTCGACCAGCTCCGACTGCGCAGCCAAATTCGCAAGACGCTGCTTCTTGATGCCCTCGTAGGTTGCAGGGTCCAAGGAGAAGCCCAAAAGTCGCTCCATCTCCGCCTGCGGTGGAGCTTTCAAGAAACCTTCAAGAGGGCCGGATGCCCGAGAGCTGGCGTAGGAGGAGTGCAAGCTCTCCCGAAGTGACTCGTCGTCGCCCATATCAGACTCGTCCGGGTCGTCAGTCGAACAGCAGCTAGCAACTTTGGGTGATCTGCTAAGCGCACAGCGGCCTTCCTAGATTGTGCAACGGATTGAAGCTGCATGCACTGCATGCACTGCATGCAAACGTGTCACAACACAGCACACACAGCACCTGCCAAACGAAAACATTGCTGTCTTGATTGAAGGATCGTTGTACGCGTTTGTGTATGCTTCGGACAAATCGTACACCAATTTGCGGATAGAATCATCCTTACATGTCCCACGGCAGCTACATGAAGTTTACAGATTGCATGTAACATTGGCACGCAATCCTGAAATCTTCGGTTCTATAGTTGAAACGCACCTTATACGGCTTGAATCAATCAAACAATATATGACCATGGCACACGTGGCAGCTCCCATTTCGTCCATTTCCTTTTGATCACGGTCAGCATGGACTTTATTGCCTCAGCTGTTCTGTTAATGTTCTTCTCCTTTCGAACCTTCATGTCCGTAGTCTCGGG